GCCCTTGGTTTTTGTTCTCAGCCTGGAGATGGCTTGCAAGCCTCTGGTCTCATCTGAGATGAAAGCGAGCTTCGAGGGAAAACATGTCGAATACTCCATATATAGGTTGATTAGGAACAAGCTTTATCTATCGAAAGCACCACAGAATTTATTTTGCATAAATTGGAACCTCTTAAAAGCATGCGACTTGATCTTCTCCCTCCAGTGTCTGCCCCATCTTCTATTTCCAAGTTGTTTAATGCACATTTGTAATCGCTGGGCCTCAAAGGGGATATGTTTAAAATCAGCCAGAAAGGACTTTGCTGTAATTTTGAGGGCCCAGGCTAGACACCCCGAAGGTATCCTGTATTGCTCTTTGCTACAGCAAATTCCTCATCAAGTATTGTCTGTTCATCCTTCCTATTGCCTTGATTGCTGTCCTACGTCAGGCTCTAACCCCCCCTCCCTCTCTCTTTAATGCCTACAGCACCTGGTCTTCCTAGGTGATCTCCCATCCAAATACTATCCAGGCCCAATCCTGCTTAGCTTCCGAGATCAGATGAGATCGGGCACGTTCAGGGTGGTGTGGACATAGACCTAATCTCTCTTGCTAGACCACGAAAGTAGCTTTATATTTAGTAGCTTCATCCTTCCTCAGTGATGGCTTCCTTTGAAACTATCTTCCTTGATACTTACATATACCAATTTTACCTCAATTAAAAAAAAAAGTGTCTTCCACACTCAATCCAGAATTTTAAGACATAAAGTACTCATGTCACTTTCAGAAGGAAGCAAGAGATGATGGGAAGTCTTTGGAAACATGCATACCTGGATTCAAATCTTGGGTCTGCTAGTCACTAATTTTGTGTCCTTAGATCATTTTTTGTCCACCTTTTTGTTTATTGTTTTGTTGATCAGTCAAGGTAGGTTAAGAGCGCTTATCTCTGCAAGTTTGGTGTGGACTTAACAAGCAACATGAGGAGTTAGCTTAGTGCCTGACCCGTAGTGGACACTCCGACACAGGTCTGTCTTTTGTTCTTCAGTTTAAAACTTTGGTGGTTACCTAGCATATAAAAGATAGATTGGAATGGACCATATCTGTTCTCAGAATCTTTCCTTTTTTGTTTTCCCTCTTGTACTTTCTCTTCCCCCATATATTCCAGCCACACTAAATGAATCACCAATGCTCAACACAGCGTATTTTTTTTGCCCCGATTTCCTGACTTTTAGATTATTCTCTGCACTAAAGTATTCTCGCCTCCTTTCTCCCTAGTTGAGTTTTATTTATTCTTCAAGATTTACCTTATTGATCTTTTCTCTGTGAAAAAAGGACAAAATTAGCCAGTAATATTCTAACAAGTAAAAATGCACATTAAATATAGGATAAAAGTAAATACTTTTCATGGATGAACAAATCTAATGTCTATTATAACGTATTATTATTTGAATAACTATTTATTATTTTTTGCTAAAAATTTGGAGTTAAAGAACTTTTTAGAAATCTTACATTTTTCAC